CAGAAGCTTTTAATTTATTATATTTACAGTTTGATCCTTTCCTTTGAATTATGCTTCTGTGGAGGAAGAGTTCACCTTCTTCATAACTCGCTTCATACTGACAAATGTTCAGTGATTTCATCTAGTACCAACATTATAAACAAATTATAAAGAAATTCTGTGGGGATTTTGAAAAACTGGGCAATCACATAAGTTTTTTTTTCTTTTGTCAAGAGTATATTAGTTCATCCTGTGGTGGTTTTTTCCCTGTTAGAGGTTGAGATCCTGCTAGTATACTATAGTAATTCGAAAGCAGAGCTTATGGCTGTGCATGCCAAATGCTTTCAAAACCATTTTGATTGTGTGCTGTTGTTCAGACTTCAGAGTTAAAAAATGAAATTAGGCTGAACTTGTACATAAATAAGGAGGCATAGCCTTTTTGCTGCATTCTGTATGTTCTTTTCAAAGGCCTTGTCGACGTTCCTTAATTGCTGAATATCATCTTGCTAACCTGACTGAAAGCAGTGTAGCAGTTGGTGCCGATAAGCTTGTCCAGCTCTTCAGTCTGAATCCAGGACTCTTAATAGGAATTTGGAAGGTAAGATAACATTTTATTTCAGTGCTTGATTATGACTTGAAGGAACAGATTTCTTTTGCCTAGTAGTTTGAGATTTTGGGAGGTTTGTTTTTTTAATCTTCCTTTTTTTTTCTTTGGATTTTGAAAGATCTTGTCTAAACTAATAACAAAATGCAGGTAGGGACAGCTAGTTGATGATTTATTGTACTCTAAGCAGTTGTCTCAGGGGTATCTGTGCTTTTCAAAAAATCCACCTTTAATTAAAAAACCAGTTATGTATCACAGTATATTAGATACTGTGTTCAGTTTTATTTATTTTTCAGTCATCACATGCCAAAGTTTGATATTCCAGGGTAACTTTAAATAGAATGGTTTGAGGAGAGATGTGCTTCTTCCCCTGACTCCTGCCTTGCCTTGTCCAAATCACTCAAAGTGATAAGTTCCCACAAGACAAGTTAGCTTTCATCTGCATCAGGTAGTCGTATCCTGCTCTAGCAGTAGGAATGCTGCTGTAAACTGTGCCCTTTTGGGGGTATTGCATTCTTGATATTAAGTGTCTAAGTTAAGCAGTTAGTTTCTGTAGGCTGTGTGTAGAGATGAATGTCTTTAGAGAGCGATGCAGAACACCTGCAGTAGATTTCTACACAAAAGGAATCTGCATCTTTGCACAGAATACACTGGGACCTAGGTGTCTGGCTGAAGTTAGGGCAAAATGCTAGGGAAGCCTATCTCAGGTGTTCTGCTCTTGGTCTGAATTCAGAAGTGGCAGTGCATTCTTCCTCCCCCAACCATTTTATTGACATAGACTTATAAGGGGAGCCTGTGAACAGTTGCTCAAAGTGTGTCGAATTTCCAGCTGGAAACTTGTTACCCCACATGTGCAACAGTCACCAGGGGCAGTGTTTAAAACCACAGAAGGAATATTTCTTCACTCTTACTTAAAGGTAAAAGTGAAAGTCCATTTCCTAGAAAACTTGGGTCTGGCTGACCTGCGTAAGCCTATTATGGGTTGTTTCAGTCTATGAAAAGCTCTTGATAAATGAACAGCCATTTCTTTTGCATCGTTAGAAGTTTAGTAAATTGGTGTCCCTGTGTTGTTGACCCTATGGTCTTGCTAGTGCATTGCCCCCTTGTCGTGGTTTAACCCCAGCAGCAGCCAAGAACCACACAGCCTCTCACTCACTCCCCCACCAACGGGATGGGGGAGCGAATTAGAAGGGTAGAAGCTACAAAAACTCATGGGTTGAGATAAAGACAGTTTAACAGAGAATGCAAAAGCTGCACACACAAGCAAAGCAAAACAAGGAATTAATTCACTGCTTCCCGAAGACAGGAGGTGTTCAGCCATCTCCAGGAGAGCAGGGCCCCATCACGCGTAACGGTTCCTTGGGAAGACAGACGCCATCACTCCAGATGTCCCCCCTTCCTCCTTCTTCCTCCCACCTTATATACTGAGCATGATGTCCTATGGTATGGAATATCCCTTTGGTCAGTTTGGGTCACCTGTCCCAGCTGTGTCTCCTCCCAATCTCCCATGCATCCCCAACTTCCTTGCCAGCGTGGCAGTACGGAAAGCAGCAAAGGCCTCGACTCTGTGTAAGCTCTGCTCAGCAATAACAAAAACATCTCTGCATTATCAACTCTGTGTTCAGCACAAAACCCAAACATAGCCTCATACTAGCCTCTATGAAGAAAGTTAACTCTACTCCAGCTCAAACCGGCACACCCCTGCCATGCTGGGAAACACAACTCTTTCAGCACCTGAAAATGGTTCAATCATAAGTAAGTTCCACATAGTTGTTAAGCATTGAGTGTCTCACTCTAGTATATTTTTCCCACTCACTTTTCTGAACAGCAGTTCTTATTCTCTGTGTAGGCAGAGTAACATTAGGCAGTTAGCTGTAGATGGGTGTAATAATCGTAAATGCCACACAGCTTCAGTTTTTACACGTAGCTTAGCTGTGTAACAGAGACTGTTGATGCTGGTAGTTTTGACAACCAAGGACAGGTTGTGTGGGCCTTCTGGTATTTGGATAGAGAAAGACTGAGACACTCTATGTGATTGATAAATCTCTGTCATTATATCTTTTATAGCTGTAATTTTGCACTACAAAAGTACAGGAGAAGTTAAGAAACTAAAAGAAAACAAAAGTTCGAATAGAGGATGCCATTTTCTGGTAACCCAGAGAGATGAAAACAATAGTTGCCTACATTTCAGGACAGTAATAGGCTGCTGGCAGTGAATAATTTTGCATTTGACTTAGGTGTTTGTAAATGTAGAACTTACAAAATGTATTAAATAAAAAAGAGCTGAAACTCTAGCATTCTGTGTTCTTGAAGTAAATAGATACCTTAGTCTCAATTTATTTCTCACATTGAGCTCTGATGTTTTCTTTGAGATATCTAGGCCTATAGAAGGTTATACCTTTACGTTTTCCCAGGAGTATGTATTCTGGTGAAGACATCTGAGATTTTATTTTGAAATTCATAATTTCTGTTGAATGCTTTTGTATTCCTCATTGATAATAGTCCTCTTTGCAAATAGTTCCTTATATGTGAAAACAAACTTGATGCTTAGATGAGTACCTAAGTAGCTGGGGGTAAGTCCTGTTTGATTCTGTGTAAGTACCCACTTTAAAGTGGTAAGTAGAAGATAGAGAAGTGTAATTCATGGATTACTCTGTTAGCTTTGGCCTTGTCATAGCTAGTTTCCCTCTCTTTCCCCATAATATAGAAATGCTGTAATCTTTTACATATATTCTGCACTCTTGTGAAAAGACAGTAGCAGTTATAGGAGTCCAAGTGTTAATGCAAGCCATTATTAACATTATTACAGTAATTGGCAGTCATGAGCAGCAGCATTTATCTATGAATTTTAATGCTCAGAAAGGCCTTGTGAAAAAAGCATTTTCAGATGAAAATACATCTACTTTAATTAACTTTTCAGGAGAAAAATGAAATTGCTTTTGTTATGGCAAGTCTTCATTATCATCAACTTCTTGAGAGAAGCATTTTGGGTTCTGCTACTGTGTAAGTTTGGTTTCTTCTTTGTGGGTGATAAAGATAACCTTTAGAATAAAGCTTTGAGTTTTACAGTTAAAATTGGCTGCTGGTAAGGGGTTTATATTTAGGCAGTAATTATTCTTGTTTAATATAAACAACAGTTATGGTAACTATATACAAAACTGTAGAAGCATTTTCATACTAAAATGTTGCTATTGTTATGCTATTAAGGAGTTAATTTAGTCATACAAGTTACTAGTACTTGCTGTATTGAGAAAGTTAGAAACACACTGCCCATACTTTCTCCCTTTTCACAAGCAGTCTTTTTAATCCTCTCTTCCTATCTGAAAGACATAGAAAAGAGGGAGATTTAAGACATAGGAGTGGGAGACATTTTTGGAAGCAGGAAAGTAATCTTTAGCTGTGTAAGAGGAGGGAAAAATCTGGTAAACTGGTAAGGTGCCTACATTTATCTTTCAGTCCTGTTGAGAAACTAGCTGGATTTGCTACGAAGTATTTGGGTATATGAGTATATTGCGGTGTATAATACAACACCCATTCATACACTATAAACTGTTGAAAAAGATGGAGTTTGTTAGCTTTAGAACATTATTTGGGGAATTTGTTTTCTCCTCAACTTTCTTGAATCTGCTGGTAAGTCTTATGTGGCCACTATGATTTAGTGTGGCTCTTTTCACACAAAAGGTAAGATTTAACACCATCTACTTTACCAAATATGATCCTATGTAGGGGCTGCTCAGTTGCCTCTGGCATGTGGGTCATTTGTGTGCAATAGTTTCTCTTTTAGGTTAGGCACAGACAAAATTATTCAATAATTACTATTTCAAAGAAGTCTCTAGCTAGTGGGCTTTAGATTTGTAGTTAGGCTGATGCATTTTTTTCCTTTTGCATAAACAAGTCCATATTTTGAAGTTTAACAGATGTACCCTTTAAAGTTGACTGCCATATTTTATGCCTTTGGCTAGGCTGAACACCTGATTAGAAGTATTAGACACTGTATTAGATAGCTTAAAAGAAGTATGATGGACTAGAGACGTTTGATTTCAAACTCTCCAAAGATGATAGCCTCACTGTAGGGCTGTGTGTTGCATCTCTTTATATTAAGTCATCCCCCCCTTGATAAATTCTGTGTTTTGTTTTTTTAAAGTCAATATGTCCCTCCACCTAATAAACCTGTATTGGATGACATTGACCCAGAATATGGACTGCATGACTACAGTCTGCATCTTCATATGCATGGTAGAAGCTGCTCCTTCCTGTGCGTAACATTCAAGAGCCTTTTCTGCAGAAAAGGTATAGCTGACAGAACAATGATGTCTGTTTTTAAAGTGATCCTTGCTGCTATGTTTTCCCTCTTGTATGCAGTGTCTCTCTTCCAAGGGCAGAAACTGAACTGGATTTTTAAGAGTAAGCTATCTTGCTGTCATTGTCTGATTTCTTTGTATTTGCATGGTGCGTTGTGTAGGGTTGTAATGCTCTGTATGAAGTGTGCCTGCTGTGGCACTGACATAGTGTCAGGCCTGAGAGACAAGTTCTGCAGATTGTCAGGGTGATTTCATTTAGTTCAGTGCTGCAGTAATAATGCAGTGGCACAGCTTTTGGTGCAGGTTGATGTGCCTTCCACTTGTGTGCTGTATAGGAGAGACAGTTTGTTCTCATACATTTTGGAGGCCCATTTCTGTAGAATTCTCCTTGAGTATAGTTTAGGTGCATTGACAGATTAAATATTTAAATATTTTTTTGTAGAAGATACTGGAAACTTTATAGTTTTTATTTCAGTCAGCTTAAGGTTGCCTATTCTGGCATCCTTTCATTGTGTAGTGAGCCATTTCAGAGGTTGTTTTTTACTGTGCTGCTTCTTTCAGTTCTCGGCATTTCTTTTCGTGACACATGATTGACTATCCTTGTTCTTGTACAGTGCAGTTTCATGATTGTACTAGGGCTTTGCAAAATATATGGATGATCCAGCACAACCCTTCCTACAGCTACACAGATGTCTTCCTGTCAGGAGAGACAGATTAAAATATTAGAATTAAACTGCTAAGGAAACTTTGCAGTCACGGGTGGCTCCAGTGAGCCGATGGGTGCCCTGCTTGACTCCCTGTAGACCCCACTCATCTGCAGTATGACCAGGTTTCCTTACTGATTCGACCCTAGATTTCCCTTAGGAGTGTCTCAGTCATCAAGTTCCATAAAGCAATTTGTAGAATTCACAAAATTCATGGCACAATAGCACAGCAACACCCTGAGCTGGATACCTCTGAGGAGGACCCTGCTCCAAGACCCCCTGGGTTTTTATACTCTCACAGTCTACCTGCATGCAAGTCTCCCTCTTCCTCCTGAGTCTTCTGGTCCTGCCCCCTCCTGCCCCACCTCGCCCTCATTGCCAGCATGCCCACCTTCATCTTCTTTGTTATCCAAAAGGTCAGCAATTCCCAGCTCCTGCTGTACCTCCCAGGATCCTTTCACCTGGCTGACACTCATCTTTACATCCTTTTGTTATCTCAGAGGTTGGCAGTTCTTGTCACAGGCTCCCCACCCAGAGCTCAATCAACATTGCAATCTACATCTCAATGTGCAGCTTGAAAGCAGAGCCACCTGGACCAGATGTATTCCTAAACATAAACAATTAAAACTAAACACAGTAAAGTAATCGTTGCTCCACAGTGATTTTCTGTTAAGAGCACTACTGAGCCTTTTGTGGATTTCAGAAAATCCTGTGTTTGAAGGCAGTAGAGGGAGCTGTTGTCAGGCTTGACTGCATTTACGGTGTTAGAACAAGTTTCACCGTGATTTGGGTTTTTTCATTTGTATTAGATTACTCCAGGAACTGTCATTTAGACTGCAGCCTTGTGCACAGCGTTGGAGGGTTGTAGTCCTTCAATCTGAAATATACATGTTGGCAGATTCCAGAAAAACTCCAAGCTTGAAACAAAGGAATAGTTCTAAGGCTAAAACTTCAATGAAAGTCTATGCATGTTGTAATAGAACTCTCACCTGAAGTGTTGTGCAATACAGGAGTCTTCTTTATACCCTAAAAAATCCCCCAAAGTCCATCTCTAAATTGACCACAGGGTTGGATGTTTCAGTTTGTGTTTGTGTTTCTTTTTTAGATGAATATCGTATTTTGTTTTCTAAAATTAAATTTTTATGCTCCTAGCAAGCCATACTGTTGTATACAGAAAAGCAGTGTGTGGTACAATTCCTTTTTTGGTATCCCTTTGTTTTGCTGCTAAGAAGCTATTTCTGCAAAAGATAAGCTGTTCATGCAAATTTCAGCAGATGTCCATGAGCTACAGTTGTAATGCCATCTCAATTTGCAAGTTACAGAATCTGTTTTGTGGTCACAAGTGTTTTCTGAATTGTTTTGGTTTTGTGATCTTCAGCAGTGTGACAGCTACTAGATTCTGGTCTCACAGGACACCAGACAGCTGAAGCCATTGTTTTGCAGGCAATAAGTTCCTTTGTCATCTAGTCCCTTCCATGTGCTTGCACAATAATTCCTTTTGGAAAATACATGTCTTTCTCCAAAAATGGTGTAGTGAGGCAGCTTATGGCTCTCTGCTTTCACATATTTTTGTTGCAATTTGTTCATTTTGTTCTGTCTGGTAAACATGGTGTTTCTGAATGTGGCCAACAGTGTAGTTCTGTCCAAGTTGGTTGTATTTGATGGTTTGTGCTTTGCTTTTAGGCTCCATTACAATAGTGCTCTGGGAGAACTCTGAAGCATGGAGGTCTCCAACACAGTGAGAAGTCTTGCTGTTTCTTAAAATTCTCTACCCAATCTAGATTAATTTTAAATTATGGATGTGACATGCTGATGGCAGTTTCCATAACCTGAGACACAGATCAGTTGACAGTTATTATTGGATTTTTACGTATTTACTGGTTTCCATTTGGAAGCTGTAGATACTCCTGGGTTACCAGAGAATGTCCATTTGTCTTCTGCAGAATAACTGATTTATTTGTTCAATTTGAGTTTTATTTTTGTCTGCTTGTTGTTAGTGTTTATTAATGTTGTGCTTCATTTTGCCACTCTAGTCTCAATTATTTTTGCAGAGTTCTTAATCTTAAATTTTAAAACTTTCTATTACCCTTCATTGAACCAAGTGGATGGAGTATATATGGCTTCATGGTTTTTTCATGTTTGTAATACCTGCAGTGCAGTATATAGCTGTTTTACCACTCTGTTTTGGCTGGGTTGTAGCATTTTATTTTATGCTCCCTTTCATGTAAACAGCATTGGTAATGTGGTCGTGTTGACAGATACTGTAAGGTGAATATGCTAAGTACTTAAAAATTGAATTGAAAATATTTAGAAAACTTAACTTGTTTCCAGGAAGCTGTGACAAGCTTTTCATGCAACTCATTGAAGCCTTTTAATACACATTTTTGAAATGTATTAGCCTAGGTTTTCACCTTTTTAAGCATAGTTTTGTAGCCTCATGGTAGTTTAAGCTTTAGTTTTTCAGTGTTATTTCTTGATGTAAGTTGTGCTTGCAAAAATGTAAGGGGGTGATTTTTGTGTGTTTAGAGGGCTCTTAAGATTTGTGTGCAAAATTTCATGTCATTTGAAATGTTTTGCTTGACCTTGAAGATTGATTTGCAAGTTTAAATGACCATTTCAGCAAGGTAAGGCTAGTTGTTGGCACCAGAATTCGTGTTAAGCACAGCCTTTCTTTTGAAAATACCAATCAAATTGCAGCTTGCAACAAAGGCTTGGCTAGCAAAACAAACTTCCTTGACTTTCAGTTAAAATAAGTGCCTTAGAACTATTGGGCTATTTGTTTCTTTCCCCTGAGGTTTGTCTACATGATATATGTTCTCTATATTGGCATTACGTTTATTTGGAAATATTCGTTCTCTATAATTTACTCTGCTGCATTGCTGCTAAATGTGTCTTGCATAAACCTTGGACTGTAGGTACTATAAGGAGACAACAAAATAAATTCTAGATCAGGCTAAAGAAAGCCCTGACCCATTTGCTTCCTCTGTTTCTCTTGGTATGTTTAACATAGCTTGTTCTGCCCTTCAATTTCCTTCTCCCATCTGACTGGGGTGAGGAGGGGGAGATTTCAGCACTTCACTCTTCAGCTTCTTGCTTATTTCTAGGCATACTTTTCCTTTCTTCTGGATATGAGGACTACAGCGGAGCTTTTATATTTAAATATATATATATATATATACTGGATTAAC